ATCTGCCATGTTATGATCCGGGGACAACGTCTCCACAGGATAAGAGGGATCCATTTGAATAAATATGCCATGAGTGCGTTTTACCGTTGATTTAAATAATTGTGTCCTTTGGATAGGGTCCTCTGCTATTTTGAGTTTGCGACCATAAGACTTAGTGATCGGCAATAACCGTCCAGTACAGTTCAATGATCGTTGGGTGGGGATATTATCCGTGTCCATTAATAAGGATTATTTGCTTACATCTCTACATGTCAAGCTACAGTGATCTTATATCATGATGGGGCTAAGATCGTAACAGATCTCCAGAAGGCCTACTCAAGGCATCATGGATGCATTTCTGTACCAATTTTCAATGTGGGTATAAATGGTCAGAGGAAGGAAATCGCTGGTGATTTGAAATGTTGGGCAAGTTTCCTTACTAGGCGTTGTTCATGGGGTGCATACGGATCCCAGAGGATATTTTGGTATGATTGGATGTATTTGTCTATAGATGTGTAGCTCGGGTGTATACGTTGATACGCATATTATAAATATTCTCCAATAAATGCATATCTGTTGTTTATCTCCTTTTCCAACTTCGTGACATCATAACGTTTGGTGATTTTGATGCGGTGTCATTTTGACAGATCATTGTTTAAAACGTCTTGCATTCCTTTGTCTCGGGTTCATAGGTGAAGGACAAAACAGTCTGTTTTACAAACCTTGGCACAGTACACATGTCTGTTTTACAACTGTAACAGATAAGCACGTCATTTGCGTACTCTTCCATACAGACACGAAGTACACGTGCAAACGAGGATGCCGAAAGTCCACGTGTGCAGAGCATTATAACTATACACATCATTGATAAAACTCTGATAAACTAATGTAAGTCAGGTTGTTTTTTTCCAAAATTGCAAAAAAAAACGCAGATTTTTGTTAAAAATACGTTTCTTTTAAAATATCCTGTCGTCGATATAATTAAAACTGTCCACGGTTCCCATCTACCAAAAATAAAAACAATAACTTGCTCACAAGTCTTGGTAGATAGCTTCGTCTCAAATCTCATCTGTTTGTTATATGGGATGTTCTCAGTACATGTATGTAATTTTATTGCAACAGTTTTAATCCTCAACATGTCGAGAAACAAATACTGAAAATTTTAAAGTTTATAAATAAACTGTTTCAAAAAAAGACTATATCGTGTAATAACAACACTCTCTTCTCATCACATACCTACACTGGCTAAAAACAACAGATTGCAAATGTTCTGCTTATTTGTCATGGTTGGTGAATTTCAAATCGAATCTTCGATGTGTGCTTTTGCCAGGATCCGATAACCCGTGTTTCTGAAATAATCATCACTGGAAATATTTGTTAGTTTTATGATGCAAAGTAAATGGGGTTTTTTTTATAATATCATAAAATTTGAAATGATAAACTAACCTTTAGCTGGATTCTCCTGATATACAATCCGAATTTTAACATGGTAAAATCCAAGTATTTTTTGCAATTACTAACGACATTAGCCTCTTTTAAATATAATATTAAGCTAATAGAAATGTGCACAACTAGTTTGCAGATACAGTGATAGAAACACTGCACTCAGTTATATCAACCATCTGTCACGAATGCATCTCTAATTCATATTATATTTAAAACCGGTTTTATTGAGCGTTGAACTACAAAAGTAAAGATATTTTATTTCACTGAAAGAAAATTAAGTTAGTTTACAAATAAAATTGCAAATTGGCAAAAGCGAGTTGCCATGTTGAAGGCAGCAGGGATTCGACTTTACTTTCAAATCAAGTATCGAAGTATACACCAATTGCGTTCGAAATTGTATTTGTCCACGCGACACCGTGGAGTAGAACATTCCCAAAACATAAGAAATATTAACACGGCGTCCTTACAGTATGTAATTGATCATATTTATAATTTGTCCATTGCTCACTTCACTGTCAGGTTACAATTTCCTGCCAAAGGGTCATCAGAGGCTCTTCTGGGACTTAATGATGCTTCTAATGGGCATTAAATTGGGTGGAGCAGCTGTCCGATACTTTTTATCATATCACGAGTATGAACAAATACAAAAGTTTCTAGGGAGCCCCTTAAAAGAACAAGGAAAATAAGACACTATATGTTGGAAGGTTAAGCGTACTCTGTTTCATTGGCAACATCCGCCCTGTTAAATTCTAAATAAGTTCAAATCCAAGAATTGTCATGTACACAAATGGAGAATCGGGATATCGAAAACTAAACAACAACGCTTACAGATAAGATTAATCAAACACGAACTACCTCCATATCACACGAGGAAATAAATGCACCCCAGCAAGTCGGAGATCGAGAAAAGAATACAACTGTTGTTACCCATCGCATGATCGTAAGAAGCGGCTAATACAGGAGCACCCTGTACATTTGTTGATTTACCTTGGGACACAAAAGCAGCCAACATAAATCTGCTGTATCCATTTCAATATTTGGGATATCTACATTTGTTTCTACTTGAATCTGGCTTTTATTTCCTAGCGCTTTGCTTGGCAACACTTCACTTTTTGCTTTTGATCTCGTGCGTTCGCCAAGGTGAGGTAGATAATAGCTTCTACTCCAAGGGCGGGACATACCATAGTCCTTAAAAGTGGTACTTGTTCTTTCCTGCTTAACGTTTAGCATTTAGGTACGTTGCCACAACTTGTTCACTCGTGGGCTGTATAATGTGTGACCGGGCGAAATGCTGTACACGGTGCCTTCGCCATGGTATTTCAGTGAGATAGCACTAAAAAGTTGGAACCAAATCACGAGGAGGCAATTTCACAACACACCCTGTAAACTTATTATATAAGCTCATAGAAGCGATTTAAAGTGATCTGCTATTAAACTTTTTTTTTAAATATTAAATGGATCAAAAGAGAATTGGTATCCCAAAATAGGGGATACGTGTTGGTTGTTTGTGTCCATTTATTATTTGTGTTCTTTTTGGGGTCAAAAATCGAAAGTGCTTCAGTTACACTATCTACTTTTCCACTTTGTTGCATATTATTTTCTTCATATTGAACATGATCAAGTTTTACATAAAAATGAACTTGCAACAATTGAACATAGCTATACAAGAACTTTTTAGGTGACGCCTTACGAGAAGCGCAAGAAATACACATTTCCAAGTTGCCCCCGATTTGGTCAAGTTCTTGAAAAAAATATTCTACAAATAACAGGTATTTTGACTTTTTTTCAGATGCGTGCTTGCTCTTAAAATTGATAATAGTTTGTTAAATATTATATAACCCTATCCACGAGATCACAACGAGACTTGAACGTGTGTTAAACCTCACAAAAGTACATAGTTACAAAGCTTTTACCAAGTTTGACTGAATCATTGAACCGGTTTTTTTCCTAAAAGCGATTCTTTAGCGGATGTGTCAATATACTGGGTGTGTATAAACATACTTTGGCATGGCAATTTTAAGTAGAAATTGCATAGCGGATTCTCGAACATCTGTAAGACATCCAATCTTGAATACATTTGTTAATTACGTTCGTTATCAATCAGCATTATAATAATAAGGATTAAAAATCTTCATTTCAAAACGATTAAAGCGTTTCACTTGTTTTGATATTTTATGATATAAACGTAGCCGTTAGCAGTATGGCGGACTATGTCTACTCCTTTCTTTATACCGCTGGCTATATCTTCTCATTGTTGAGGAATCTTTATTGAATTTATCTTTACTTCGATCATCTACTATCCGTGATACCTGCATTGTTCATGCTGTCTGCCATCCCAAATGATCAAAACATGACGATGTCGGACAAACCTCGGATTTGTCGGATACCATGTATTCCTCGAACTATTGACCTGAATCGAACGAGCTCGATTTAGTGGGGTTTTGACAATAAACAGCATTAACAATGACAAACCAATAGGAATTATAAATGTGTTCGTTACACCCTGTAAATCAGTTCGAGTCTAGTGATTCTTGATCTAGATGTGTGAACATTTTTTTCAAATGTATATTAGGTTAACGGCAAAATAAAACCAATCTTGCGTCTTTTGATTTCAAAAAAAGATATTTGATTTTCACCATGTTATGTTCTGAATGGCGTTAATAAAATTAACTTAGAATATTGTATGATTTCAATTTCATTGAACTCACAAGAAGGACATGTACTATGCGCTTTATGTATCTAACATTTTTTTCGCAATTGATCGTAACAGTTCAGATACACATGTTATATGAACGTGACGATATCACATACACATCACATTATTGCCGCATGATCGAAAAGGTTCTACTCAAAATCAATCAAGCATGACACATACGTTATCAGAACGAAGGAACTCCTTTGTTATAAGCCAGTGTTGGTTAGTGATGAGAGGGGAGTATTTTTATAACACCAACGGAATTCATCTTACAACGGTATAACTATACGCTTCAAACTTTTCAGAATCAGCCGAAGAATAGTTATCGATAAGGTGATTTCTATGTTTATTCAAATACTGATAAAAGTTTCATATAATGGACAGGCGTAAAATTACAAACTGCAGAATATGACGACGTATTCAATCCAAGACAAAAGAACAGTGCATTATATTCATCCATTTCAACACGGTTTCGCTTGTGTACTTAATCAAGTTCCAGCCGCAAAGGAAGATAATTAGGTTGCATATTTCTATTTCAGTGATTTTCATCAGTTACAGAGATTCGAGTTTTGTTTTGACGTTTGATTGATAAGGAATCTGTACAGTTTCTCGGTTTTTTTTCGACCACAGGATATTTTAAAAGAAAGACATGAAACTGCAATTTTGCAATTTTAGAAAAACGCAGACTGACTTGAACTAGTTTACCATGGCTTTATTGTTTGTGTGGATAATTTTAGTATTTTATACACACGGACTTTCGGCATACTCCTTTGCACGTGTACTTCGTGTCTTCGTTGCGGAGTACGCAAATGACGTGCTTACCACCTACAGCAACAACACAAACCATGTGGACTGCGCCAAGGTTTGTAAAACAGACTGTATGTCTTTCACCTATGACCCCGAGACCAAGGAATGCAAGACGTTTACAAAGTTGATCTGCCAAAATGACAACGCACCAAAATCACCAAACGTTTTGATGTTTGCGAAGTTGGGACTGGAGACAAACAATAGTGAGTGACCTCTCTTTTTAATGAGTAAATATCTTAGGTGTGTAGACAATGACATTGTAACGTATATTTCACAGTAAAAAGGGAACGATAGGATTGGACACTTTATAGTTCATCAAATGATTAAAGACATGTATTTATTCATTATATTATCTGAAAATTTAGGATTTGATCGACGTCGCTTAAATTTAAATATGATGTATTTATTTGGTTTGTTTATTCTAATTACATTAAGCCATGTGTACTTTGTATCTTTAATATGCTAAATGTTTGTATGCATGTCTGTATCGTGTCGGAAATAACGACGGCTACATGTGCCAATAGAAAGTAAAGGTTTACTCTTTAAACGTATCTGCCAACGCTCGACATCAGGAAATACATTCATGCACAATTTGCCCTTGGATCCGTCTGCACCACATGGACAACCTCTAGTTGGGACATTTTGATCATAACATGAAAACACTACATATTTCCATCATGTGACCATCTATAAACATATACAAATTGTGGGCGAAATGCATCCATTCTGACTGGATTGGGTTTTGTGTATATCTGTTCCTAGCCCATACAAAACAGCCTGTCATGAAGGGATCCATACACATATTCTTTATAATACGGAAACGATTAAGATTCCTACCATTTGATAATTGAAATACACTCATAATATTATTATTGCCTAACGGTTATTACCCATCCATGAGTTCCATGCTCGCAAGCTGTAATACATTACACCTAAGTAACATTTCATGATGATTTCTTTCAATATGGATGTTTATAGTGTTTGAAGTCATTTATTTTTCATGTAGATAATGTTCCATTATATAAATATATGTCACTAGAATGTACAGACTAAATTGAACAGGTCGTTTTCCTTAACCTTCGTCATCGCCATCCACCTACTCCCAACTCAATTTTTCGGTTTGGATTCCACAATGCAACTTTAACGGATATTAGGGAGTAAGGAGGGGTGGGGGATGGGAAGTTAACGAAGACGAATCAAGAGAAGTGTACAAGTGACACATTTGCGACGATAAGTACTATTTGTTTTGTAACCTATCCCAACTTCTTAACGCCTCGTGACACCATCTCTCTTGTTTTTGCTGTATAGCGATGTGAGGAGGAAAATGACTTATTTTCCTAAGGCTGAGACCTAACAAAGTCCTATCTCGGTAATATATCATGGCGAAAGCACGCCTGGTCACATTATACTGACAACGGGTTAACCAGGTGTTGTCATTCTACTTCTACTTCTATTTCTAAATGGTCCTTTAAAGCTGAAAGTTAAGCATTATTAACAACTACCACTTTTATGGAATGTGGTATGTCCCGGCCTATAGACAAAACCCACAGTCTTTCTAACCTGGGCAAACGCTCAACATTTAAGCCAGATGTGAGGTATTGCCAAGCTAGGCGCTAGGGGAAAAAAGGTAAATAAAAGTAGAAAGAAAGTTCCCAAATGTTGCAATGGATGTAGCAAATTAATTTTGATCGTTTGCATGTCCCTAAATAGAGGGCACCAAAGCAAATCCCCAATTATGCAGGGGTTCCCACACGATACATGTAGTTGGTAACAGGAACCTGCAGGGATGACCAATCATAGAAAAAAAATTCATAAAAATATCCACTGATAGAATTCTCACTTAAATCAAACAACAATCACAGTATTATTTGTATGAGACCGAAACATACCCTTATCATATGAGTGAGCGAAAACTCAAATCAATTATTTCCAATCTACGACCGCTGACGCTTTTCTTTGAATTTAATATGACGCAGAATACATAACTGATGAGGACGATGAGTCTTAATCATAGTAAAGATATGCAAGTACAAATACTATTTGACACGCTGGGATGATGTTTAAGATTCATTTGAACGTGAAATTAACAAGCTGTCAACTATGTCGTTATAGTTGGTTTTCCAAAGGATACGTGATTTACAATCACAGATAAGTAATGTCAATTTCACTTTTCATTATATGGTAGACATAACTTATTGATTCGTTTCATGCTTTCCTTACGACAGGTTCGATTTATTGGCTTAAGTTTCTTTTTTAACATGTGCATTCACTTAGGATGTGATAGTGCTGTATCAGCTCACGTTTATTTCGCACCAATGAGTAAAACTAGAGACATTCATAATTTATTTTCATAGAATGATCATAGGGGAAATGGTTAGTTCAACTGATTAAAGATTGCTTCGGTGTATAGATTGAATGTGATATGATGATATGTATCTTCCGAATATGTTTTCTTCAAATTTTGAGCAGATTTTGTTGATACTACCTGTAAATTTCATTCTGGCTAAATAAAAACCTGAACACTCATTTCCTATGAAGTCAGTGTATATCAAATATTACAGAATGCCCAGAAAAGCAGACGTATAACATGTTGACTAATCACAGTATATGGTCATTGACGATTCGATATCTCGAATGTCTTGGGGGGATTCATATCCCGCTGTTTTTTGTTGTGATTTGAGCAATTATGAAAATATGAAAATTTATGAAATCGTGTAAGAACTTTACAATCGTTTCGTATGAGATCAGTAAATAACAAATGAAACAAAGATGGCAGAATATATGGACACTGACGATCTAGCCTCTATATACGCTTATATCATTTTAGTAAATACCGAGGATTTTTGTTTGAAATTACGTCTGCTGGGTTGTAGATGCTATCGATTGTAGTGACGTGAACCCGGCTGTCCACTGCTCAGGCATCTACCGTATTACGCCGAAACCGGGAGTCAGCTTCGACGTGTACTGTGACATGGACACGGAAAACGGACCCTGGACGGTAGGCTAAGCTAACAAAGCTTTACTAATTTGCAATAACAATCTGTGTATCATTTCGCCGGGTGATTGGAGGCAGCAAACATATTACCCCCTATAGACTTCATTTTTTTCTTAATTCTTGCACCAAGTTTAGCTTATGTTAAGGCGAGGTTCGATGTACCCTGCAGTCCGTCTAGCGTACATCTGTCTTCCGTCTGTCTTTTTCTAAAGATACCTTCGTCTGAACCGTTGAACGGAATTAAAAAGGTGTTGCATTAACGTTCAATCACCTGACGATAAATTTGATAATTTGAAAATATAAATGAATTATACGATTTAAATACGTATCGCCTACATCGCCCCTATACTAATTTGAAATGAATTCATCACCCCATCTACGTCCCATGATATTTATATCGCTATATCAAATCTAAATTTGCAATATGCTGACATTTCAATTAAACATGGAGGGATATTGAAGACAACAAAATGGATCTGCTGACCCCCATTGTAACAATCCGGATATTTATATTACTTTTCTCCTTCTTTAAAATCTTTGTTTCTTGGTGACTCAATATACAAGAACTCGCTTCACCTTGGCGTTCAACAATCGCCCATATGGGGTAAGCAATGTGCTCTGTCCCCAGGCCTGGATACACGAACGTCCTTCAAATGGTACTTGTTATGCCCTGCTTAGCATACGTTCTGAGGTAATTGCACAAATCTTGTACTTGTAGGGGTATATTGAAGACTGCCTAAACTTAGCCCTTAGGGTGGACCTTTTAGTCATTACAGTATGGCATTGCGTTAGTATTGCATTGTTTTTGTCTTAATAAGTGTTTTTTCTCGTGAAAGATTTTCAGGATTTAACTTAAATATTTAACATAAAGTAGCCAATGTTATCTCCATTGATTTTTGATATTTAATATATTTTCTGGTACCAATTTCTTTCCTTCTCTTACGGGTAAGTCCCCTTTGGAAAACAATGTGAATGTAACAAGAAAAAATACATTTCGATAACCAGTTTAACACACATCTTTATGTTTCAAGGTGATACAAAACAGACAGAATGGTGAGGAGGAGTTCTATAGGCCTTGGACTGACTACAAAAATGGCTTTGGTAATTTACGAGGAAATTTTTGGCTTGGTAGGTATCATCATAAGTTTTTTTGGCGAATACTTTATAACAACAACATTTTGTTTGTACATTCTATCATTGTGGATTTTTCAAGAAATGGATATAAAATGGAAACACATTTAAAATTCTTCTCTTTTTGTACTCGTTTTAAACAGGAAATGACGCGATTCACCATATCACCGTCCCAGAGTCCAACCTCCGCATCGAATTGGTCACATGGCTAGGTGATTTTGGTTATGCTCAGTATTCAACATTCAGAGTTGGGAACGAGACCGCAAATTACAGACTTACTGTATCAGGATTCTCCGGTAACCTCACGTGTATGTATATATAGTATATTACTCCTCTTCCTACTTCCAACACGTAAGTGTCAAAAGTCAGTTCTAAGTATATTCTCAAAGTACTTATTTATAACAAGAAATATTGGTGTAAAAATGACATGTTTTCATGGGATTAGTTTTGGAATTGAACACAACATCGATTTCTTTCATGTTATAAGATATTTCTTCACTAGTGTCTGTAAATAGTCCCAATGCACAACTACCATTAAAGACAGATACAGAATATATCTGCTTAATATCATCACATGATCGTACGTAGCGACATATGTGTGTTCTTTTCATTATCTGGTGTTATAATCTGTTTCCTATGGCTAGGACACTTTGTGAAACTAGGAATAGATGTACATAATTGATAATACTATAACATACCCTGTCTCTGGCACATAAACACATATGTACACATGTATACATGCATTCTCTAATGGAGGCACGCCCTTAAATGACCTTTGCTGTTAATATGACGTTCAACAATATAAAACCAAAACCAGAATCTATAAACTAATAATTTAATTTTGCCTACATCCCCCATAATGTTTTTGGTATATATCGTATATACCTAAAAAGAAAAACAACCGATGACGAAATTACTTTTACACTTTAGAATGCAAAATACAACGCAGCTTTTTTTAGCGCAATTGTTTAGTTTACGTAAAAATTAAATAAATCTTTAACTGTGCATTTACAACGTGTTTGTCTACTTTTTAAAAATCAAATTATAAAGAATGCCCAAGATTTCGTTTTGGTATATACCGTATATACCAAAACAAAATCTTAATAAAATGACATTTGGTAATTATATGCTATTTGTTTTGACAGTTTTCATTCCATTTTACAGATGATTGTATGGCATTTCATAACGGGATGATGTTTTCGACATACGACAGGGATAACGATTTTTCAACACGTCACTGTGCTTTCGTCTATAAAGGCGGATGGTGGTATAAATCCTGCTACTGTACCAATCTGAACGGCGGAGAATATATGCCAGGTCATGGTAACACAAAATCACTTGTCTGGCATTCATTTTACCCGGGTATCAGATACACTCATATGATGACGACAAGGATGCTTGTAAAACGCTTACGTGAACTGAACTGAACGTGGTTATTCAAGGTTTATTATAAATTTCGCTGTTAATTTTATATAACCATGCGTAACTCTACCTTGAATGGTGACTACACCTTAATAATCGGAGGTGAGCTTCATCTTTCCCTATTGAAATAAAGTTGATATGCCGCAAGAAATGCAACACATTCAGTATACTGGTGTTCTCTACTTTTTGAACTTGTTCAATCGAAGTTTAATTGTGATATGAGCTTTTTGCCTCAATCAGAACTGTATATTAAAGTATATTAAAGTTTAATCGAACGCCTAATTAGCACGTGACACAGTGAATAAACATTTACACTTAGATAGATTTAGTTTGTAGTGATTAGATTCATGATACTTATACAGACTTGAAAGGTCTTTTTAAATAGTAGTCTAGAATAGACCGACGATAAAGATTTTCTAAAAGGAAACAGCTTTTCCTAGCTAAGTTAACCAAGATACTACCACACTGCTCGGAGTTTTATATCAATAATTATTTTTGGTTTGCTTCTTTATCACACCAACCTAATTGACTACTCCACCTCAAAAAGTTTGCTTCAGTGCCATCTGTCAGAAAACATGATTAATACGCTGTACAAACTGGTATACCTAGGGTTGTCTAACAAAAACAACTGACGTAGACTTTTAAGTCATAAACATTTATTTTTTTTCGTTAGCAACCAAAGATGGAAGCACATGCTATTTCAGTGACTAATGCGCACTAGTGTAGATCTTTAGTTCATACTGTACCTTATATCGTGTTCATTATTTCATCGTAATTATATCGTGTTCATTGTTTGATCGTTATGATATCGTGATCATTGTTTGATCGTATTGATATCGTGTTTATTGTTCGATCGTTATGGTATCGTGCCCATTGTTTGATCGTAATGGTATCGTGATTATTGTTTGTTCGTAATGGTATCGTGTTCAATATTTTATCGTAATTATATCGTGTTCATTGTTTGATCGTAATAATATCGTGTTCATTATTTGATCTTTATGATATCGTGATCATTGTTTTATCGTAGTGATATCGTATTTTTTGTTCGAGCTTTATGGTATCGTGTTCATTGTTTGATCGTAATGGCTTCCTGATCATTGTTTGTTCGTAATGGTATCGTGTTCATTGTTTGATCGTAATATTATCGTGTTCATTGTTTAATCGTTATGATATCGTGTTCATTGTTCAATCGTAATGGTATCTTGTCCATTGGTTGAGCGTAATGGTATCGTGTTCATTGTTTGATCTTTATGATATCATTTTCATTGTTTGATTGTAATGGTATCGTGTATATTATTTAATCGTCATGGTATCGTGCTCATTGTTTGATCGTAATGGTATCGTGATCATTGTTTAATCGTTATGGTATCGTGATCATTGTTTGATCGTAATAATATCGTGTTCATTGTGCTTGAACCACACATAATTGTCATTCAACATTTAGAACATGATTAAACATATAAAACATTCCTTTTTGTCATTATTATTTTTCATTTTAGGCCACCATCATCAGATGGTGGGCTTATCAAATCTCCTGTTGTCCGTGTTCTGTCCATTCATCGGTCGTCAGTCCTTAAACAATTCCTGTTATGGCTATTTCTCATGAAATGCTATATGGACTTTTTTTCGTATTCGATACATAATTTTCCATTGATCCTTTAATATGAATGAACAAAATTGCTGATTGGCGGCCATATTGGAATTTGGCATTGAATTTGTTGTATCTCTATTTCTCAGAAAGTACTTGAGGAATCATTCTAAAATTTCATAGGTAGGTTGCCATGGATCTCTTGTTTTTGATATTCATGGTTGGGACTATCGGATGTATGTATATCATCTCTATTTCTCAGAAAGTACTGAATGGATCTTTCTCAAATTTAATTTGAAGGTTTCCCGTTGTCCTTTATTGTACCTGTTAAATTTTGAAATTAATCGACTGAAAAACGGAATGGCCTACAGACGGCCATCTTTGATTTTGACAATGAATGTTTGATATCGCTCCTTCATCGAGACAGAAAACCAGAGAAAACTAACATTACATAAAAACAAAGTAGAAGTATAAAAGGTTATAACTAATATTTAAAAAA